ATAATTTTTATTATAGTGTATTGTTATAATTGTCCTATTTTATTATTATTGTTGTTCATCTCTTATTGTGCATAATTTATAAATTAAGCTTCATCATAGGTGTTATGCATAGGAAAAAACATAGTCTATATAAGATTCAGTACTATCCATGGTTTCAGGCATCCACTGGGGGTCTTGGACCATATCCCCTGTGGATAAGGGAAAGCTACTGTATGTTGAAATAGATGCCACTGAAATAGATTTAATTATCTCTATTTCTATTGCTTCTAGCACTTTATTTATAACTTTTGTCATTATAACACTTACCATGTCCCATTATAATGAATGATATGCCCATCTGCTTTCTCCTGCTAGAGGCAGTCATCATCTTTATAACCCTCTCATAGATCCTAGTACAGGGCCTGGCATTAAGTAGCTATTCAATAATTTTTTTAAAAAAGAAACTGAATGAGTGACCCCATAGACTAGACAACAGGTAAGAAAGACCAGATTATTGTCACTACTCATATCCTTGAAGCACATCCCGTCAGTGGGGGAGAAAAAGGTCTAAGAGTGAGGAGGAACATTAACACAAAATTATGAAAAAACATAGATAAAGGAGAAAAAGAAGTGGCTCAAATCCAATACCACTGCAACTAATATTACAAGTGACATACAGCTGTGCACAGAGAAGAATTTCATTCCTGAATGATCAAGGATTTCTTATTTAAGTACACAATTTTCTTGTATGCATTCTTTAAGACAGAAAGAAAATGGGAAGGATATCATTAATTAAGAAAAATCTGCCAGAGAAAGAAACCAAATGAGTATTGGCAATTCAGCTGTTCTCTTCAGAAAGGGTATCTAAGACAGCATGCCCTTTATTATCAGTCTGGTGAGGGTAGACATGGCTGTTATAAATAGTATCAAAAAAAATTCATTGAGTTCCTACCTCACACCAAACATTATGCCAAGAATTTTCACAAATTATCACATTTTAATTACATGAGTCAGATATCATGATCCCCATTTTACAGGGAAGGAAACTGAAGATTAGAACAATTGAATGACTTGCTGAGGTTGCAAAGTTAGTGGGGAGCTTTGGTCAAATTTTGGGCTTTTCCTATAATACTCTATTACCACATCCTTTAGTGTATGGAAACATTGTTACCCACCATATTTTATTAAAAGTATTCCCATTTTAAGACATTTTGTTTAGGCTATTTCACATTTGCTAAATTGTAGTTTGAGGATTCCTTTGACATGCAGTTGGAGGATCTGCCTATATTCTTTGGGCATCTGATGGAAACCGCGTTTAGGTAACGTGTTGTCATAGTAGTGATGGCTGACAGGTGTGTCTTCTACAGTTTTAGAGAAGGGCCAAAATCCATAAAGCTTCACATTTTCACACAGTTCCACTGCGACACTCGCGATCATCAAACCGGTGGACAAGCGGTACGCGGTCACACCTTTAGTTCTCCAGAAAAGGGCCAGATGTTTCAGGTACTTGGGATGGAAAAACAGAACCTTTTGTCTTGCTTTAGAGTCTCTGAGTGTGTAGTACACTTTAAAAGAGGTACCAGTGTTGGCCCTAAAAGAAAATGCTGGCAGAAGAAGAAATGCGTCTCCATAGGTTGCAATGTCCTCCAGAAATACTGCTTTCTTTTCCTTTAAGTTCCCATATCTGCCAAATTTTAAAGAAATTATAATAATAACAAGGATAATAATCAAAGTAGCAGTTTTGGTAACATGAGGCTGAATGTACCAATGGTCAAAAAAGTGAACCATTTATATAAAAAGATAAACTGTAGACTCAGGGAAACCCATTTAAATAAGCATCATGACAATATCAAAGACAAGACCTTCATCTTTCTTCCATGGAATACCTAGGCTTTCAATTTCTACTTTCTTACTGGACAGACATTTCTTGTATTATTTTATATTCCAACTCAGTAATTTTTTTCTAAAGTTATTTTTTGGTACTGAAACAGCTTCCAAATTTATACCGATGGAATACTTTTTCAAGCATAGCACATATGTCAATAGATTTTTAAAAACTCATTGAGCTATTCACTTGTGATTTGTATATGATATGATATGTACCTTTTGTATATATTTAAGTATAAAACAGAAGTTTCCTTTAGAAAACCTAAAATATCTCTATATAAATATAGATATATTTTTAAATTTCCTCCATTCATTGTGCTATCTCTATATGTATGATTTAAATAATACCTTACTAAGTATTCTTGTAAGCATGATTGTGAGTGTTTAGAAAATAAGCTTTTGGAATGCAGGTACAATATTTTATTTTCTCTCAAGAGATGCTAGAACTATTTGGAGGGGCAGAATCTATTTATAATGTTTATCAGTCACTTTTGATTAAAAAATGAAGTAAAACCATGTATGGGATTTTTTATTAGCCAACCAACAATTTTATAGTAGTTACACTGCAGAAGTGAATGGTCATTAGTTTTTAGTGATCAACTATTCAAAGTGAAAAGTACATTTTGCCAGATTGTCCTAGAACTTACTCTCTGAAGTTTCTAAGTACATTAAGTTTTATCAAGAAAGTGCGGCCAAGATAAAAGAGTAATGCTAAAAGTCTGAAAGAAAACAGAAAAAAGCAACTTTACTGTTGTTAAAAAAAAGATGAGGAGAAAAGTTCTCATTTGATTTGAAACATTTAGCTTATGGCATTAGAAGTACAACTGAGTCATACCTCTTCTGAACCACAACCTTGATAGAATGTCAAAATTTGCAAATGTATTCTTATATATTTTCCCCCAAAAGCCATTCCAGCTGTATTGCAAGTCAGTCTCAGCAAAAAGATTAATGCTCAGACTGAGAAACATGTTAAACAGTGGAAAAATGTTCTTGAACAGTTATGTAAGTTGCAGGTACTTACTTTAGCGTTATGATACTGGGATTGACAGTCACAAGATTTGTTTTGCTTCCAACATCTTTACTAACATCTCCTGTGGTTGGGGGGAGGTTACATCTGAAATTTGGAAGGGAAACCATTTTCAAACTAGAACTTGTAAAAAAAAAAAGTGTATACACACATAGACACGTACAATAAAATTGTCCTTATATTGGAGAAAATCATTGCTGTTAAGAGATCCTCAAAATCCATCTGATTTCCATTTAAAATTATTTAATAACTATGGAGCATTTGGTTGACACTGTATGAAATATACAAATTTGATAAAGGCTTTTAATATTGATAATGATCTCTTTTAAGTATCAAAACCAGAAATGACAATTATACCTTGCCTAACTTTTAAAGAGTTTCCAATCCTTTTATTAAAATTGTTATTTATATTGATTATATTCCCACAGTGGTAAGAGAACTAGTTTACAGACTTTTACAAAATTGAGGTACTGTGACTAAAATTATAGAATCTGCCAGAAGCAAAAACTACATTAAAAAATCAAAATCTTCTGATTCCCACATGGATCGTTTTGCCACCAAATTATGGTGTTAATAAATAAAACCTTAATGTTCTTATAGTGATGTTTTCATACCAGTGTTCTCATCTTCCTTTGAGTACTAATTTGTTTTTAAATTGGAAAGCAAATTAAGAATTCTAATTTTGAGTAATTATATTCCCGTCACAAGAAAGGGAAAGTTGGTTATGACTCCCTCAATACCGTTTGTAGAATTTCAAGTACTAAAGCTAAGCATAAAAAGGGAGCATCTTTCAGTGATTCCTAAGGAAGGCTGTTTAAAGTTGACATAGTCTCTAATATGACTGAGTTTGAAATATTCTGTACAATGCTTTATGAAACATACCAATAAATGAAACATGTACTTCCCTCATGGATATAAAAGATAAGTCAGAAAATAAATAGGGCACCCTGGGAAAATAAATGTTAATCGTAAGTACTAAGGCATAGAAATGACCTCATTAGTGGGCTTCCCATAACAAGTCTACCTCGTAATACAATCTCGTATTCTTTTGAAGAATCAAAAGTGATTTCCAATATAGTATCACAGGAGATTCCTAGGGGAAAGGGTATTTTGTGTGTGTGTGTATATATACACATGCACACACATATATAATTACATTTACATATGTATACACATATACACAAACACAGTATATAGTCATAGTATAGTAGTATGCTACATGTACATGTATATATTATATACCATACATATACACATACAGTAGTACACTGCATTTCATATATACACACACACACAGTAGTATAGTCATAGTATAGTAATAGTATAATCATTGCCTTTTTTTCCTCCCCAACATATTTCATACCTCCCAATTTTTGAAAAGAAAAAAAAAAAAAAACAGCTTCCAGATTGTGTTATAAACTATCAACATGCATAGCCAAAATAAGTTCAGGCTTAAAAAATTAAATTTTAATAACACCAACCATGTCTAGTCCTCATTTTGCCTTTCAATGTAAATGACTGGCTTCAAAGAGAATTCTATATTCAGAAAAATACCTGGCATCAGCAAATGTAGAATCTAGAAACATAGGCATTTATTTTAGAGTTATAAATTAAATATCTGCTGAGATTTTTTTTTTTAGTATTCGAGCCTAAATTTATATTTCCTATACTTGCTATAAAGTAAAATGAATGTTTAGGCATAATCCTCAACGCAGATGTTTTAGGAATTTTAAGTCTATAAAAAGTCTATTGCAAGAAGAATTATTTATATTCATTATGGCCTTTTCACACTGAGTTCTTGAAGGAAATGGCTCAACCATTCACATATTGGCCATTTTAATGTTAATCATGAAGAACATGAATATTCAGTAATTGTTGGACTGTCAGGTCTATGGCTGTTCCATCATTACCTTCAGCATAAAATTTTAAAATGAGGGGGAACTCTTTATTTAAAATCCTGTTTCTTTTTTATCTGCAGCATTGACTCAATTGGGATCAAAGCATCATCTCTGATGTATAAAATCAATGCTCCTAAAACAGGGAGAAACAGATTTCTACTTAGTCTTTAAAAAGGTGCATTTTAATTAAAGTCCATCCTCACATGGATAAATCACTTTTCCACCATATTCTGAAAGTGGAGATGCTTCGTAGAATGACTTGTTAGTACCACTCATACCTAGAAACCATTTTATTTCTATTTTTGCAGGCTAGCTGGTATGGAGACAGAAAATGTTTAAAAAGACCAGAATTTAGAAACTGAACAATTTTTTTTAAATTTCAAGCCAGAAAACTAAACAATGGCGTTGCATGGCTGTAAAATACCTGGTTGCCATTTTCCCACATATTATCCAAGAACAAAACATCCTTGAAATGCTCTGCAAGAAAAATGGTCTTTAAGGTTAGGTGAGTCTGAGAAACATTGCTCCTTAGAGTTCTTCCAAGGGAGCCATGGGACCCTTTAACATACTGACGGCTCTGATAAGTCCTGTACTATAAATCCCTCATTCACCCTGATTTCACCCAGAATTTTGTACCTGACCATAGCACATTTTTATCCTTCTGGTATCAACATTCCGAGAAACTCATCAACTATGGGACACTTCGGGAAAGCCAACCTGAATAATTTGAAGACTTCAGCAACACAGCTCAAAGGTCAAAATTTCCATGAGATATCTTTCCACTATCCCTCTAAAATACCCAACTGATCTTTTGTTTCAAATAAGTCAATTTGACAGGTCTTACCTAAAAACGAAGTCGGATTTGTCTATTTCAGCTCCGCAGAGAGACTTATTGAGAATCCCCCCATTTCCAACCACTGCACACTGATTATAAGGGTACCCCACAAAAGGCTGCGACTAGCAGGAGAAAAAGAAAAACTATGTGAAATATCGTTAATTTTAGAACCACAAACATCAGCTTAATTCAAGTAACTTCACTTCTTATGCAGGCTAAGGAGAAGAAAAAACAAGAAAAGGAACAAGCAGCAATGTAGCATATTGATCAACTTACTATGACTTATAATAAAAAATCATCACGGTGAACCTAGATTTCATTTCTCTTGAGAGGAATAGACATCATATAACATGCAACATAATATAATACTCTGAAATATAATATCTTCGTATACAAATATAATTTAACATATCTTACATCATATAATAAAGTAAATAAAATGAGAATGGCAAAATTCCACATCGTGCCTTTCTGATAAACAGGACTTTTTTCAGCAAAAAAGAGAAAATAAAGAAATTAGAAAGTAGCATGCAATCTTCTATTCCAAGGCATAAAGTTAATAGGTAATTTAGCAAAAATTCCCTGTGCTTCTTAAATATAAATTAGACCTTCAGGCTCGGTAATGGTATTAGATTTATGCCTGCCATCTCCACAAATGACCAGCCAGGGTGCTTCAGGGAGGCCTATCAACTCTGTGCTGACATATTTCAAATTAATTTCCAAAGCCTGAATCTTTTTTATTTCCTCCTAGGGTTGAACTTGCTTACCCCAAAGCTTTCCCACTTTCCCAAGTCCTCCACAGTCTGAAACATAACTTTTCAAGTCAACGGTGTACTTTTCCTTTTCTGGTCACTTTCCCTGAAGTGGTCACTTTGCCTGACCTGGAGCCCATAGCAAAGGTACCAGCTCATACTCCACAGTGATGAGGCCCCGATTCACCTACACTGTCTCTAGATGCTGGAGCTGACTTGTGCAATCTGGTTCATATTGGTAAATATTCAGGAATTTTGTGAGCTAGTAGTTAAACCATTGGAAATTGTCCATGATGGGGATATTTACACCAATGAAATTGGCAAAGGCTACAAAATCAAGGTGCACCCCTTCCCAAAGCCAGTTTACCAGCAGCACTGGCAATAGCCCATGGCCCGTGTGGTTTGAGCAGCTCCAAGCACCAACAGACACCCCTGAACCACTACTACTGCCGTCTGCTCCTGGTGCTGCATCTAGGGGATGCCCAACAGGCAAAGAGAACTCTATTTCAGTACTTCTCTCTTTGCAGGTTTGTCTACTGTGCTTGTCATGTGAGAGGCACTGTTCCAAGTGCATAAGTTATTAACACATTTAATCCACACAACCACCTTAGGAGCATTTTACAGATGCGAAAATAGAAGGATGAGCTCAAGCAGGAACCAGAAAGGGGCAGAGCTGGGATATGAACCTAGGCAGTCTGTTCCAGAGTACATGCTCTTAACCACAACCCACTGCACAGTTTCTCACCAATTAAATTAAAATGTTGACTTCATTAAGTGCCTTATTTCTTGTTATACAGCAATGCCTAGTCGAGAGTGCCTGGCTCTGAAATGAATGGTTCCCAGATACCTCGGGCTATTTCATGGCATTGAACTTCTAGCTCAAGATGTCTTCAGACAGTGTCTACTAAATGCCTCCACGATAACTTCTGGATTTAATAGACAGGATAGAATGCAAAAATGAAAATATGCTCTTTATGGTACAAAACAGAAAAGATTACTGAGGGAAACATATCTCAAATTATGCACTCAAAATAATGAATGTTTTTCTCTGGTTTCTTGGTCAACTGGGGGAAAACATCCATATGCTTCAGTATCTCGTGTTCAGTAAGAATTTAAATAAATTACAAACTTCGACATTCCCTTAAATAAACCTCCAGAGAAAATGCAAATTTGCAAGGCTCCACTGCCTGCTCCTGGCTCACTCTGGTTGAAAATTAACTTTGTTGTTTTCCTTTTCAAGTGACTTAGAAAATTTCATGGAGGAAGTCACTTCACACCATTTAAACAAAAGCAATGTGCTGTGTGCCTAGCAGTTAGTCCCCGAGAGCTGCAGTAGAAGGGTGGAGTAGACCACGAGCCCCACCCATCCATGGAAGGTGAAGGTTGAAGCAATGCAAAAAAGAGACCCAGCTCTGCAATTGTTATTATGTTGACTGCAGAATTTCCTCTCCCCAACTTTTAAAAAAAATCAGTATAAATTTGGAAAGCAGATGCAATTGTTAACTGCATCACAACTATTAAACCTATGCTAAGCTATTTCTTTCAAGGTATCCAATGAGAAACAAAATAGCTGCTGTTTCTCTGTTCTGGTCAGCAGAAAGCAACACAAATACTAGCAAAAATTGCATAAGTGAAAAAGTTGCTCATCGTCAAATTCTCCAAGGCCTTCCCTGACAGGGAACAGAAATATGCTTTTGTTATCTTTTCAATTATTGGCAATTTCTATGCACTGTGAGAATTTTTTATGAGTTATTTTTGCACCCCTTCTCTCCCACAAAATTTGCAGTATTTTCTTCTTTATCATTTTCCATTTATTTCTCATTTATTCTCTGCAAATTATTCTTCCTCTGCATCATAATATAAAAAAATTAGAACTTACATGATCAAAAATAAATAAATTAAAAGAAGTCAAAGGTTCAACAAAAGAGAATGGTAACAATTTACTATCCTACAGTTGGTAAACTGCACATATAAAGGGATCCCATTTTGGCCATATCGAGTTGGTCTAACTGCTTTTAATCAAATCATGGAAAGATGCCTGAGAGTGTATGTTTATAAGCAATGAGAATTTTCCTCTTCATAGTAAAAATTTCCCACGTTTGGATTTGCAGTAAGGGTCAAGTTTCTCCTCACCTGTGTCAAGTGGTACTATCTTATATCATCACTCAATTGTTTAATTAACAAATATGTAACGAATGCATATATGTACTGGGATATGTTCTAGGAGCTTGGGATACGTCAGTGAACACAGAAAAAAAGCCCTATTTTTATGGTGGTTACATTTATTGACCACGAATTCTTACATATTTCCTTCCCAAAGACAAGCCACATAAGCCTACAGTTCTTTGTGAAGGAACTGATGTAGCCACCCAAACTGACAACCGGAAGAATCTTACTCCATGTGAAAAATGGCCACCTTCACAAGCCCCAGCAATTAGTATGCAGAAAACTCAAGCACCACATCTCATTTGAAGAAGAGTCCAGAAGTCTTGGGACTGGAAGAGCTCATCATTTAAGATATAAATAGTTTTCCCTGCAGAGCCACACTGCATTCAAACTGCCTTTTTAAAATGGTCCACTGTATGTATTTTATACAAAATAAGTCTATGGTGTTTAAATTAATCCCTTCGTTATTGTAAGTTATAGCTTAAAGTGAGAGAAAATTCATCTAGAATGGTGACACAAATAACCCACAACAAATCTTTACTCACCACTGGAAACATACGAAAAATGTTCTCTCTAATTGGGATTTGTTTTTTGCTTTCCACCTCATAACTCATATTAGTCCCAACCGGAGTATTATTTTGAGAAACAACAAAGTTTTGAACAGCATCACAACAGGAAGCAAGTTTCGCTCTGCAAAGGAAAAGAAGACAAGTGAGCCAAGGCATAAGATTAAGAAACCAAAAATAGAGACTACAATGGAAATGCAAAAAAAGAGTCTGCCATATTGACTTTCTAGAAGAAGATAAATTATTCACAAAGATGACATTTTTATCTCATTCAATTCTAACTATCCCTGAATGATGGGATGGTAACTCGTCAAGGTGAAATAGCAAAGCGGTACTTACATACTTACATTCAGGTAGGGACCTTCTCAGTAATAGAAAATACTCATGAAAACAATAGTTTTAAATATAAAAAATTCCTTCTAAAAATATTGTTAAAACGTTAAGGAGAAAAACATGAGATGACATTATATTTATTTTACAAAATACAAGTTAAGAACAGAATCTAAACTAAGAACAGAATCACAGTCACCAAAGCAGTATGTAACCATTTATTATGAGACAAGTCCAATGAAAAGGAGAATTATTTAACACAATGAATCTTTAAGGGAAGTGAGTTTAACACATCGATAGCCACACTAGAAAAAAAAATTTTTTTTCCCCTTGGAGCCACTGTGTTTTACTAAGAAAATAGAATAAAAACTTTGAAAACAAAATGATTCTTTCTAATTTAATGAAAATTTTGTTATTTTTTATTGTTTTCTGTGCATGACTTATACGCAATTTGAAATATAGTTCATGTGGCTCCCAAGGTAGAGATGTGTGAGTTACATGTGCTTCGCAAGGCCCCAGGCTCAAAACTAGCATGAGTTAAATACAACTCACATGGCAGTTAATGTGTCATTCCTCATAGAAAGCCCAGAAAAGCATAAATAGTACCAACCATATTTCAAAACTATCACTGTGGAATGAAACATCATTGTTAGAATGCAGACCCAGAAAGCTGCTTTCAGGGATCACCCGAGTTAGCCCTCAACCTCCAGCAGGTGAATACAGAACCACTCAGAATTTATATTTCATTAATGTAATTCTCCAAAGATGTAGATTCCAGAGCATCTCTTGATAAATATTCCTGAGTTTAATCAACCTTAAAGTCAAAATCAAGGCGCAACCCTTGATTCTGTCAACAGATTCTTCCATTTGCACAACGGAACTATCTCTTCATTTAAATCCACTTTCATCGTTAGGTTTTCATAGACTGCCCCCATAAAAACATTTCATGTAATTGAAAATGGCAATCAAGCAAAACTTTAACCTTCTCAATCTTGAAGAGTTTACAGAATTTCCTTTTCTCTCAGGTTTTCCCCAAAGGAAAGTTTTTCATTAGTTTAGTCATCTTTTTCCTCTTTAAATCTTGACTTATTTCTCCATATTACTTAAAAATATATATTCAGGCTGGATCCAATTACAGGACAAGGGAGAGGGAATATTCAACAAGGAGGTTGACTCTGGTTAGATTCATTAGAATTGGTCCTTTCTCATTCCACACTTTTATTACTGGTTTTTGGTCCTGAACGGTAAACATTTGTACATGTTTCTACTGAATTTTGTCCTTTTGAAAAAATACAATTCTCTAACTTGTCACAGTCATTTTAAATTCAGTCTTCCTGAATGCCAATAATTCTCAAGGTATGAAAAGTCAAGATGCTATTATTTGCATCCTAAAGTCAAGGTTTTCAGCAACACTGCTTCCATCAGTTAACTTACATCACTGAAATAGTATAGTCTTCTTAATTGAATTCTGTCACGTGCTCATGACTTCTTTTTGTATTTTAGAACCTATCATTGCAGAAAGATAGTTCATGGAGACTAGCAAAGGAAAAAAATGAAAATTAAATGATGTGTAGTCAAAAACATGATATGTAATTTTTAATTATAAATTTAATTTGATAACAATTCATGTAGATATTGCAAACTCAGAAATCCTTATGTGTTTCTAATTTTAAATGTGTCTTTTATCCAGCATTTTGAGGAGAGGCAATGTAATATAATAAATTCCTGTTTAGCTCTGACAAGTAACTTAATTTCTATAAGGATATTCATTACTGACATGAATATTGCATCATCAAAAACACTAACTGGAGTTCTTTTTGTGCTTTTTGTTATATCAATAAGTTTTTTTCTGAAATTATATTTTTAAAATATAAAATTTTCAAACCTACAGGAAAGGTGAAAGAAATGGACAATGGGCACTTGAATATCCACGAGCTAGACTCTCCAATTAACTTTTCATTATATTTGCCTTATTGTGTATCTGTTCAGCAATCCATTTTTGCTGTAATTGTTGCAATTCAGAGTAAATTACAGGTCTCAGTATGCTTCCCCTCTAAACACTTCCTGTCTCCAGCCTTCCCCCAAGCCCCAGAAGCAACCACTTCTGTGACTATTTTCCACCATAGATTAGTTTTGCCTATTCTAGAATATGAAGAGAATCATACCGCCTGTATGCTTTTAGACTTCTTTCACTCAGCATAAATGGTTTTGCGATTCATATACGTTGCCCTGTGCATCAGCAGTTTGTTCTTTTTTATTGCTGGAGTTGGTTTAGCCATTCCTTCATCAAGAGTCAACATTAACCATCTAAACACTCACAATAATCTCCCAGGAAAAATAACAGAATAATCATCCAAAATGTCATTTCTGCAACCTGCCTTTAGTTGCAGACTAAGGGGGCTTGTTAAGCCTTTGTATCCAGCAGCAGAATGACAAATGTATGCTCTTCGTCACTTACCAGCTCATGCGGGCGTTAACCAAAAAACCTGCCACTTCTGAGACACCTCAGTTGTCTGTAACTTGAGCTTTTACATCCCACAATAGTAAATGTCCCAACCAGATAAGAAGGGACAAGCCCGACCCTGTACTTTCCAGAGCCTTTGCACACTCATTATCCCATCCGATTCGCGCTACAGGCAAGGAGGTAGAAAATACTATTATTCCCATTTTAGAGATGAGAAAACAGGGATTGAGAGAGGGTAAAATGACATGACCAAGGTGGGCAGGTTGTAAGTGACTCAAAGTTGTGTCTTTTGCCATTCAGGTCTTGGCAGTTTACACCACAATATGCTGTCATTGGGGGGAATGCCGTCATTTAAGCCTCTTCCTTCTGGATGCTTTCCAAAATGGTGCCACGATAACGTGGTTGTTCACAAAGTAATGCTGGTAGCACCTTCCTGAAAACCTGCCCAGGCACAACTTGAAGGCTACCGTACAATTTATATATAAATGCTTCAAATCCTATATACAACTGAGACATTTGAGGCTCTCATTTTACATAGAAGATGTATAGGATTCTCTATGGGATCAGGGTTATCAGGCAATCTGGTCTTTGTGCCATGAACAAAATGGAAAAGAAACCCTAACTTGATGACAATCTAGCCCTTGCTGTGTCCCACTTTAAGCAATTTCCTCCATGTAACCCAGGTTCAAAAGAGAATATACTGCCCTCCACCCGCCCTAGGAAAAAATAGGGACCCTCTGTACTGCACTGAGTCCCAGAATTCAGAATTCATATTCTTTCAAAAGTGCTTAACTTTCAAGAAGTAGATTGGTCTTGGGAGAATCTGCCTGAATCCTTTTTGCATTGATCTATAAAGATGGAATCTCAAAATGTGCAAAATCATCTTTGCATCACAGATGGTCTAATAAATACACTTTGAGAAAGGGATCATTGTTAAAATTGTGGAAATTCCTTTTTCTTTTTCATTGTAGGTGCTAGTTTCTTTTCTAAAAAAAAAAAATTTTTTTTTTTTGGTTTTTGTTTTTATTCGTTTCAAGTCTCAGGTCAAAATTCTTCTTCAGTTCTAAATGCAATGCTTCCTGGATTTCCATGAAATGTTAATGACGACTTAAGGCTTTCAGTGCAGAGGACACTCTAGGACACTCTGAATACTAACGACCCAAAGGCCGGAGCCCAAGCTTCCAGGCATCGCTTCTGTTTATTAAACCCTCTGATAGACTCCCTAAAGAGATGTGGGGCTGTTACGGGGAGGTAGAGGCTGCAGGCACTTTCTAAGCACTAATAAAAAGCTACATTTCTGGGTTTCATTCTCTGTGATTCTAATGAGGATCCTAAAGAAAGGAGTTTTAAAAGGTAAGCACCTGCGGAAACTCAAAGGACGTATTTACCATCCTAACCATTTCTAAAACAGTCAAATTTCTTTTCCTTCACCAAAAACACAACAAACCTAAGCCAAGAAATACACCACCTGCTTCTCTCCTGTTGATATTCCTTTCTTTTTGCTTTTCCTCTGGCCCCACCCAACCCTATACAATTCATTGACTGACTGATAATTCAATAACAAACATTTAGTGCAGTCTCACTATGTGCTACATATTTTACATTGATTATTTCACTTAAGCCCTACAATAGCTCTCCAAAATAGGTACAATTAGCACTCTCATTTTACAGATGAGGCCAATTTAGGCTCCTAAAGTTAAGGAGGTCCCAGAGAACATATTCATTCATTCATTCATTTATTCATATTTATTTAGCACCTAATAAATACCAAGCACTGAGAGGTGCTGCTGTCTATACGCTGGTCAATAAACTGAGCATTGTCTCTGCCTTTATCGTGTTTGTGATCTAGTAGGGAAGAAAAAAAGGATTTACATGGATGACTTGTAAGGTAGTAAGTGGCAAAGCCAAGATTCAAACCCAGGATTCAAACCTTTATTCCAAAGCCCACTTTCAGGGCATGCCCTACAAAGAACTACAGTGTGCAGTGGGGGAAAGGAACATGAGTGAAATATTCTTGTCTGAACTGCCATCTCTTACAACCCAGTAGATTTTTCTAGAATCTTCAAGTTCATAATTGGAAACATTTCTTTTTTTTTTTTCTTCAGTTGGTTGGTTTTTTTTTTTTTTTTTTAGGATATTATGAGGTACAAACATTTTGGTTACATTTTATGTCTTTGCCTCACCCAAGTGAGGATTAGAGGCATGCGCTTCCCCTCTACAATGCTCACTGCATCCATTAGTTGTGAGTTTACCCCCCTCAACCCCCTAATCCCTGGAGAATATTATTGCCATGTGAGCACCATAGTGTTGATCAGTTAGCACCAATGCGA